CAGGCGACCACCTCAGGTACCCGCCGGCCAGTTGCCGGGCGATGGCGACCTGTGGATCAAAGCTGTAGATAAGCCACAGCTCCATTTCGGTGGTGTTAATGGGATGGGAGCGGAGGTGTGTGAGGGGTGAGCTAAGAGTTAAATCAGCTAATGGGTGTTTTCGTGCTCTGCGGTACGCGTTATCGGGGAGGAGTCATTAGTCTTGATGGGGTGAACAAGCTGTACCCAGATCCGATTACCGCTTTGGCAGCTGTGAAGTCTGTGCTCACACGACCTTTTTAGACGTCAACCCGAAGAAGCCCGTGTTTACAAAGTGCTTCTTCTAGAGGATTACAAATAAGTCCCGTGTCTAAATGGGAAATGTACAAGTATTCCTCCCAGGGACACGCTGTGTCTTGCTGCCACGTAAACAACATTCAGCACAAACATACACATATACTTAGGAGAACTAGCCAATAATAGCATCGTGACTGCAAAGCCATAGCCCTGAAGTGTGTGAAAAGGCAGCGAATTGTACTTGAAACTTTTGTTTTGGATTTATTCATAGGCTCAACTAATGGATGCGAGAGAACTTCTTTTGCGTTTTTGCGACAAGAACTTCCTGTGAGGTTTGCAAACATTCTGAAAGAAATCGATCTTCTTCCTGATAAATTGCTAGGAACTCCATCAGTACAATTAGTAAAAAGCTGGTAAGTCAGAACTACTTGAATTCAGCCTGTGAAATAACATAGCTTTGACAAGGTTGTCATAGGTTTTTCTGAATAGTAGAAGACAATAACAGAATACATTAGAAATGCAGTTCCTTTATCAAAGCTGAACTGCAAGCTGTTACACACTGTCCTTTTCTAGCATACTAAAATTAAATTGAAAACCAGCCTGGTTATATTGTTATTTTTAAGTTGCTTTAAAAAAACCCCAACAAAACGTAACAGCTCAAAATAGCTGGTAGAGCCAATCTCTTCTTACCCTTTAAGAAGGGAGAGAAGAAAACGTGTTCTGTTTTCACATAGCATTACAGACCCCCAGAGCAACACAAAAGTGGGAAAGCAGGCTGTATATTTGTTTGTCTCTCACTGATGGTATTAGTAACAGAGCTTCTGTTCCACAATATATTGCTTTGGCCTGTGCACCGAATGTTTGGAATTCAGTTGATAGAATCTCTGCAGTTGACACAGTGGTTGAATCTGATTTAACCTTGCTTTACTGGCACAGTTGCAATTTTTGCAAGGGTGGCTGGCATAAAGGGCAAAAGTATTAAAGTGAGATCCAGAAAGTGTTCTTAATCTAGCAAACAGTTGTGCCTTTGCAGTATGCGTCAAGGCTGTCAGATGTTAGCACAAGAGGCTCAAGTACTTAGCTTGTGCCAAAGCTGATTAAACTTGGAAAAATTTTGCTTAGGTGGTTTCCTGATCAGTATTATCTTTTGGATCTTCTTTTGAAACCCCTCCCAAGAATTGTATGGGCTTAGATTCCTCTCTGGGTGGGAGGCACAAGAAACGATTTCTGAAACTTCTAGGGTTCGGGCAGTTAGGACGTATCCATCTGTGATTCCATACTTGGATGGAACTTTGATACTTCAAAGATACTTCAAATTTCCAGCTGACTTGTTAGGAGTAATGATTTGGCAAGACAAAGTATTTTTATTGTTCCTAGACTAATAAAAATCAAATGAATAGCATATATTTCTTGTGTTTCTTTTCAATAGGTACATCCAAAGCCTAATGGAGCTTGTTGAGTTCCATCAGAAAAGCCCAGAAGACCAAAAAGTCTTATCTGAGTAAGCTTTTAATTTGCTTCTTTGAATTTTTCATCTTGTATTCAGCTTTTCATAACGTAGTCAGTTTAGAATGACAGCTGTTATGAGCTGAATTTGATAATCTAGCATGAAGTGCTGTGCATAGAGCAAGCTGGTTTAAGTCTCTGATCATGTTTAGCAATGTTGCAAATAAATGTGACCCACTGCAGCTCAGTTTCAAGGGCATAGTGCCCCTTGAACTGTCATGACAGAAATATCAACAAAAACTATCTGTGATGTCACATCCCTGCTTCTTTCCAAGATGCCAGCTAGGGATCTTTCCCTTCCTCACATTCCCCTCTGCTCAAAGTATTATGACTGAGTAAACAGGCAGTGACTTTGGCATGGCTAACAATTACAACTTTTGTATTAAAAATATCAAACTTTCCTAGTTTAGGTCAGTGAGAGATTACTTTTAAAAGAATGAAAAGATAGACTATTTTAATATTAAGGTTGTCATGTACTTATCTGTGCTGCTGCTGGATTAGATAATGACATTGTACAAGACTTGCCTCTATGTAGTCTTGGAAGAATGTTCTAAAAAGATTTTTTTTTTTTTTTTTCACCTAGCTTTATAGATACATTAATTAGAGTCCGAAACAGACATCACGATGTAGTTCCTACAATGGCACAAGGAGTAATTGAATACAAAGACACTTTTAAAGTAGATCCTGTCACCAATCAAAACATTCAGTACTTTTTGGACCGTTTTTACATGAGCCGTATTTCAACCCGGATGCTAATGAACCAACACAGTAAGTAGAAAACTTTTACTTGAGGAAAAACTTCAACCTATTGAGAAACATGTTAATGTAAACATTTCTTGAAACTGTTGGAGATCTGCCTCAGATGACTTTGTCTGACACTGAAAAGTTAGAAACTGATCTATGACTTAGGGAAGTAATGGGGAAAACTTGTTTTCTAGACTACAGACTAATTGTAATAGGTCTTGTGTGGAATATGTAGGGATCTCATTCTTTACATCTGAATAGGTGTTGAACTACAGAAAAGCCAACAAAGTTTGCTGGCAGTAGATAGCATTTTTAACTCACAAAAGGCATAAACAACACTCAGCATTTTGTGACTATATGTTGTGATCGCACTGTATTAGTCTAAATTTAAGGCTTTTTTAGAATACCTTATTTGGGATTAAATATAGTATTTGTTTTCATCTCAAACAGCCCTTCTTTTTGATGATAAATCCGGCTCAGGGCACCCAAGGCACATTGGAAGTATTGATCCTTGCTGTGATGTTGTTGAAGTAGTGAATGGTATGTATTCTCAGTTCCTTAGCATTTCTCTTTGCAGTCGGTATTTATATCTGACTTCAAGCAATTCGGGTAACCAACGTGTTGTATAGGATGATGACTGTTTTTTACTGAAATTGCTGAAAGCAGTCTATCAAAACAAGCTTTTTTGGACAGAATTTAAAATACAAGGTAGCAGTAAAAAATGTATTGAAATATAGCAAGTGGCAGATGAGGTAGGAGTTAGTTGTCTGTGGTGTTGAGATTAGCCTTACCTACTGATAGGTAACAGAATTATCAAATTGTACTGAAGACTTGTCCATGCTGCTGTAACTGCCTATATGTTCTCAGTTTTAATGCACACAGTGGCTGCAATGTTATCATTCCTTTGAGACACAGGCTTAGTTAGTCTGTAGCACCTCAGCAGCTGACACAGTTAGAAATTATATTTTGCCATGGATTAGAATGAATTTCTATGGTGTTTGATATTACACTTCACATATTTCATTTAAATATTTCAGATGCTTTTGAAAGTTCTAAGATGTTGTGTGACCAGTATTACTTAACATCTCCAGAACTGAAACTTACTCAAGTGAACGGTAAGATGAGACCTTTTATGTCTGTCTTTCTATTGGTAGCCAAACTGCTGCTCTTATTGAATCAAAAGGCTCCCAATTCTATAGCCATAATAGTACATACCAGTTGATCTGTCTTGGGCTCTTCATTTTCTGTTATAAGCACCTCATTTAATCCCCTGTGTTAGAACTCAAATGTCATTGTATCTTAAACACTAGATTTCCTGAGGTAATATTTATGAACTTGAGAGAAATAAGACTAGCTTGTACTTAAAGTAACATGGTAAGTTGCTAAAGAGGAGGTCTGTATCTGGGGTGAGAAGTGGGGCTGACTGAGAAACACTGTTTCTGGTCTAAACTGTCTGCACATGTCTAATCTTGGGCAGTGTGCTTAACCTCTAAAATCCTTTCATTATAAAATGGAATTAATACTTTACTTTTTATGTGAAAATAAACTGATTTTAAACAAGTGGCAATTAGAATGTAAACACTGTTATGGGTGTGTAAAGTTGTTTGCTTATTTGGGGATGTGGGGGCAACCCCAAAACTAAGACTTGATTTATTTTCTTGTTTGTTTTGGCGTACAATTTCCCTATTGTAGAATTTGGATACAATACAGACATTTCATCATTTTTTTATAATCTTGCTTGTCTTTTTCCCTTCATCTAGGAAAACTTCCAGGAGAGCCAATCAACATTGTATATGTTCCATCTCACCTTTTTCACATGCTTTTTGAGCTCTTTAAGGTATGTCAGTATAAGCTGTTTCTTCCCTCAGTAGTCTGAGCTGGAGTGTCAATATTTAAAATCTTTAGCTAGATCTGAATGAAGTAAAGCTTTGCATAGGACAGTGAGACTTCTAAAATTTTCTTATTTGGGGAAATAGCTTTGGCAGCATTTGGCAGGAATGATTGCTATTTGTACGAGAGTATTTGGACATTTTTGTGTTGTGTAAATGGGACAGTGTAAGGGGGAGAGAGAGTAAAAGTGGGACATGGGGTTGTGATCACCGCTAGCCATCTGCTTTTAGGGATTACTACCCTGGTGCCTTCTCTGTGGAGTGGGTGATGCGTCTTGAAGTAGTGAATGGGGCTGAATTAATGTGCTGCTGACATGAGGTGCGGAATTCTGGCAGCCTTTAGCAACTGCTGCACCCTGTTCTTCTCCAGATACCTGGTGACTTTAAGGGAGTTAGTTATTTAATTTACATTAGCTGTGTTATGTTGGGCAAGAACAGTAATCTTTCAAGCATAGAAGAGTCTTGGGTATGCTTAGTCACTTTTAGGTGTGAGACATCCTCTGCTCCCGTTACACTAAATCGCTAACTGTATTCCTTGAAAGCTAGGCACTGATAGGAATGGAGGGCAACTGCTCAGCCTCTGCATAACAGGGGTGTGATTTTTAAGTGCATAGATCCAACACTTTCTGATAACGGTAACCTTCATTTCCATAGAATTCAATGAGGGCAACTGTTGAATTCCAAGAAAACAGTCCTTCCCTTTCTCCAATTGAAGTGACAGTTGTTCTAGGAAAAGAAGACCTGGCAATTAAGGTATTGGTCTACTACAATATGGGCTTAATGTAATCTTTATGATTGCATATGCTGCTGCAAATTCTGTTAGAAATTGGAGCCTCTGACAGCATATGAAAGATACTATCCATAAGTCTTCTGTTAATTGTGCTAAACAGAGGCTATCATCTGGTTGAAAAATAACAAGCTGCAAAATAAATGTTTGCATTTCTTACTGTTGGAAGGGTTTGTTCAAATAACAGCATTTTAAATACCATTCTTAGTACATGATTGCAGTGAACTTCATTCTTTCTTAACTCAGATCTCAGACAGAGGAGGTGGCGTTCCAGTCAGGAAGATTGAGCAGCTGTTCAGCTACATGTATTCCACAGCACCAAGGCCGAGGATGGATGATGGTCGAAATACCCCTCTTGTAAGATATTTTCAATACTCATTTTGCTAATAGTTTTTTTTTTCTTATACTCCAATGACACTAATTTACTTGGTCTTCACTCCCACTCAGTCCTCAAACTTACAGAGGCACGCACAACTGGAATGCTACTATTGTTTATCTACCAGCAGCAAACTCCTTTTACTAATCAAGCTGTGCTAGCAAAAACAAGGCAGGGAAAATACATAAGTGTAAGATGTGTGTATATATAAACCCTCCCTCTTTCATGGAGATTTGTTTTTTTTTTCTTTCTAGTAGTTTTGGGTTTTTTAATGGTCAGTTTCAATATTCTGTATGAAACTGATTAGAGATTTCTGTTTTCTTTTAAGAGATGAGTAAGTGAAAAGAACTTTCTGACAGTTTAAAATCTCTGAACGCTTTCCAGCTATTTAATTTTAAGTCATAAGAGCTAGTAAAAAGCAAATTAATCTTGTCTTGTACTTTATTTTTAGGCTGGCTTTGGGTATGGCTTGCCAATTTCTCGTCTGTATGCTAAATACTTTCAAGGAGATCTAAACCTCTACTCCATATGTGGTTATGGAACAGATGCTATTATCTACTTGAAGGTATGTATTTTGATTTGGTTAAACAAAAGATAGTGTTGATAGTTACCTCACTGCGTTAATGGTAGTTACTTAGTATCATTTTAAGGTAAACAAATTCTCTGCTTATGCGTAGAAAAGCTCTCACTTTTATTAAGAAATGCCAGTAGGGTTTTTAATGTATCTAGAATCATGAAGGTCACTCAGCTTTAACTAGTCTACCTGAAAAACTACTAGTGGTAGCCTCATTAAATTTTAGATTGTATTCCATGAACCAGTAGGTAGCAAATCTTAATACAAAGTACTGGGAGAAAGTGAAGTAATGGAAACAGAACAATGTGAGCAACAAATCTGGCTTCTTTTGCTGTTGTTTCTTTATTCTGACAACCAGAAAGTCTGTATAAACTAATCCTTAAAGAATCTAGTACCTGGCCCTATTCAACATCTGCCGTATAGCCCATATATGGGATTCAGATATCAGTAAACTTGAATACCTGATGTATAACATGTACTGCTACTTTTATAAGTAACCTAGAATAAAGGCCCGCATATTCTCTTCTACTTTTTGCAATTACTCATGGGGAAAAACTTGCTTTGAATTTCTTGTGCTAAACCAAAAGCATAGTTCTAAGCACACTGTAGCACAACCAGAGAAGCAAAAGGAAGAGACACAAAAGGAGAACAAAAGGAAGAGATGGTTCAGCTGTATACATGTTGCATTTCTATTTAACAGTTTCCCAATAGAATATGAATTACTTTTTAAACTGCAAAATACGGAAGTAGGAAAGGAACATTTGAAAGCTTCTCTGGAATTTTGTAAATGTAAGTTCTTTTCCATGGCTTCAAGAACTATCTTGAAAATGGGTTAGAGAATAATTCTTAAGGCCTATAAAAATGCATAAATATGATTTGATGTTTCTTCATTTGTCCTGCCAAATTGTCCAAAGCAAGCATAGATACTGAAGCACACAAACTACTGCATCTACTGTCAAAACATTTGTGTAAATAACTTTATTTTGTAGTGTCACTGGCTTAATGCTTGGAACACACTGCATGAATTTTTGTGAAGTGGCATTATTGAGAGGTGGAAACCAAGTAACTCTCTTCCTTCTTGATTTGTAGGCTTTATCGACAGAATCAGTAGAGAAACTCCCAGTTTTTAACAAATCGGCTTCCAAGCATTACCAGGCTACCTCAGAGGCGGATGACTGGTGTGTCCCAAGTAAAGGCCCAAAGAATGTATCGCAGCAGAGTGCAGCTGTCTGAAGAGAAGTTGGTATCCAGGCACCCAAGGGGATCAAGCTGGCTTCTCAAGAGACTAGTGTTTGGAAGTATTCCTCTACCTCCAAACAGGCAAATTCTTCAGTTTCAGGACTGGCAGAAGAAAAAAGAAGATAAGGATGTTATAGCATAGGCTGTATGCACTGAATGTGAAATATTGCTGTGGACTTCAGGATAAGGAAAATAGGAGCACATATGTCTTTAAAGAAGAGTTGTGTATAGAGGAAAATCAGACTATTTTTTTTTTCTTATGATCAAAGACTTGATGTGGTAGAGGTGTGCAATTTTTGACCTGTTTAATGCTTGAATTCTGAATACTGATAAATGTAAGTTATATTGGTGTATATTTTTCTCTTAGACTAGTTATCAGCTGTTCATCTTGTTACAGCACTTCTCAGGTAGATAACATCTGTACTTTAAAGCTGTATTTAGAACATTTGGAAAAGATCCACTTAACATGGTGGTCTTGTAGCAAGATACAAACAGCATTTGCATACAGCCTGACTGGAAGGGAGGGAGCCCTGGAAGGTAGGGAGAGAGTATTTTCCATATATAAGGGAGCCCCCTTTAAAAAAAAAAAAAAAAATTAAAAAAAAAATCCAGTAATAATTCCTATATGATACCTTGCTCTGTGAGTTATGTTGCTAGATATTTTTTATGGTAAGCTGTTCATGGAAAAACTGGCCAAGTAATGTTCTTATATATAAGGCAACTGAGAAGGAAATCGGGATATTTTGGCAAGTTACTGGAAAGAAATGGGAAGCTACTTGGTTGTAGCAGTTTTAAGGTTAGGCTACACCTAGCCTACATCCCTGTGCTCTGGAAAGTATATGCCAAGTCAGTCAGGATTTTCCAAGAACTGAAGTCAGATGTGCAAGTTGAATGGAAAGGTTTTGGTGATATGTATTGTGTAAGCATGACGTGAGAAACAACAGCACGTTTAAAACATGGTCTTGTGGTTCCTTTTTGTCATGCTGTTAGAAGATTAGTGGCTCGGTACACTAAACCAAAATCTATAATCTTTGCCAAATTTGTATTGGACCATACTAGCTCAAAGAGGTACATGGCGATTTGGCACGTTTGAAAGCTGTGCTGAGCACTGAAGTTCTAGTTAAAAGGTTTTCAGGGAGAGTGGTGTTGGAACTAGAATTTTATTCTAAGAACTGTTCATTGCAATGGAAAGGGCTTAGGAAATGAGAAGTTTCAAAATATGAACAGCACTGAAAACTACAGAATAACTTTTATGAACAGCAAAATAATGGGGAATTGTCACAGGAACAGTGCCATTGGGAGAGGGCTGTTGGGAAAATATTCCATTCTCAATAAGCTTCTTGCTTTGCCATCTTCTTTGCGCATTTTCCTTGTAAGCAAGGTAAACTTAATGACAGAATTAAAGTTAAACTATTGAAAATTGCCAAACTGGCCAGTCAAAGTTCATCAGGGCTGTATAATATTACTTGAATTTTTTTACTAATTAGCATGTTATCTTAAGCGTATATGAACCTTTGCAAGAGGTTGCAAGTACAGTATTTAAAGCATCCTGCTCAGTCATATGAGTTTTCTAGAAGTTTTATTTGTTGGACAGAAAGCCACTCCGTACTCTACTGTGAATATCAAATATTTTTTAATAGGAAAGAGAGAAAGCTGGAACTACCTTTGTGTTCTAGAAGTCATGCTGGGATAGATTTCTCAATGAAAAATAAAATAGTATTCAGATATGCTTAACTTCTTTTAAAACCCAAATTTAGAAGTGTTGGTGATAACTACTGAGCATAATTACTTCTGTACTGCATTGAGGCTGTTTTTATCCCAGTGAATAAGCTGCAGTCACCAAAGGTCACCAGATGATGTATCTGAGCTTGGCTCAGTGAATGAATTGGATAATAAAAATGAAATATCTGTGTCTAGAATATACAGGTGTGAAAAAGCTGCCTTCACTGCCATAATATACTTGAATATTTGTTGATTTTTGTATTGAATACAAGGTCACAAAAACATAACTAGGTAGTCATTGTTGTCAAGTAAACACAAATTATACCTCTGTCTGCACCCAGTAATGCTTGAACATGAGTTGTGCTCTCATGGTATACTGTATATCTGAAACATGTATGGTCTGAAACTCCAGGTAGGAGCTGTAACTTCCATCTCAAAGCAGCTGAATCAACAGGTGCTGTAAAACACATTTGCAATGTTGTTTGCAGAGAGAAGCTGCAGAATGCATTCACAATGCAGACAGAGGTGTGTATAGCACTTAGGGAACCCATGTGGAATCTCTGTAGTATTAAAAAAAATTACTTAAGGGCTGTCTACCTAGATAATACACTACCTTTTTGAGCGTTTATGGAATTTTTATTCCTGAAAGAGCTGTAGTTTTAAGCCTTTTACTTGGATGTAGATGTTGATATAATTTTATAATAAAATTTTTTAAATGGTTGTCTGGTACCTTTGTTTTCTTCCAAGAAGGCTAGTGCAAGCAAGGGCCTCTTTATTTTCAAACGGAGTTGAGCAAAGCAAATTTCATGCTATGTTAAATGTATGTAGCAGGGGAGAGAAACACTGAAACAAGGGTCTGATTATGCTTACCATTGCATCTGCTGAGAGTTTAGGTAATGCCTAAAATCAGTGCTTCGCCTCATACATCACCTTATTCTTTCTAATTGGGATAGCACTCCTCTTCAGAAATGGGAATTAAGAATTCTTCATCAGTGTGTGTTCTAAAATTTCTAACTTTTTTGTTCAGCTGTAAAGAATGTGAAAATTCACCACTAGTTTTAGATTAAAAAAACAAAAGGACATCCATCATAGAGTCTATAATTAACAAATAACTTTTTCCACAGACTAAATGAAAGCCTCTCTTCCAGCTCTGAAGCAATGAGACAACTGGCTTTCAATAGCTGGTTTGTAAGAGAATGGCAGTTATTGGACAGAACAAACTGTGCCATGATCAAACAGTTGTGTACAGCTGGTGCTTTAGCAGGCTTGTGTTTGCCTGCATCTCCCTTAATTTTAAGAAGACAGAGTAACTGCAAAAATACACTTTAATTGAAAGAGGGGACATGAAAAGCAACAGACTCTGAGTGTCTGGCAGTAAATCTGTGTGCTGAGTTTCCCCTTCTTGACAATGTTTTTTCACCTGTTATGCCAGGGAAGTGGATCAAATGGTGTAAGCTTTCAGCATTTTGCAATTACAGAAATGTACCACTGTGACATATATCAGTATGTCGTGTGTTGGGAGAAACAACCCAGAACGAAAGTATGCTGGGGACTAAACTACTACAGAAAACAAAAGAAAACCACCAC